CCTACTTTAACAGGTTCGTTTTCTAACTTTATGACGACGCCTTACCATGAACGGTATTCATTTTACTAGAACAGATCAGAGAAAGAAGTTTTCAATGTCCAAAGGTTACAAAGTATCTTGGAATGTATGGCGGAGACATTATTAAAAACATCATTCAGTAACTAACGTGTTTTAGAAGCAGAATCTTACTACACTTAATGTTCTAAAGTTCCTATTACCCTAAATGGATGTCTACTGAGTTATGTCTTCACCAAACGTAAGTCTCTAGGTTTCAGCTCTGAAGATTGTTATTTAGTAGATTCAAGGGGCGACAAAGAGTGGACTCCTCTTACTTTCTCCTTTAGATCTGCGAATTTGCGGTATCTAAACATTTCTTAAATGATCATTAACATAGACATAACCTTCTGGACTCGTGGTGAAAAAATCACCTTTTAAGATCTTTACATGAAGATGTGTTTCAAAACATTATTCTTGATGCGATACTGTCATCTCCATACATCCTTGTATGACAGGCAATGTCTTTCTGTCACAACTTGTAATAATTTGAAGTTTTGGAGTATTGTTTTTTTTTATCTTGGAGTATTTTTATGCATAGTTTCATTTGTCTTATCTATATCCAAAAGCTTTATATTAAAGTTAAGCCTAGGTTGAATATTAATATGATGCTTTTGAGATAAGTAGCAATTTTGACTCCTCTGAAGGGGTATACTCTTGGTATGGCTTTGCCAACATCATTCTAAATGAAATTGATTAAGATACTAAACAGATTCACAGAATACTGCAAAAGTTTAAAAGAGTAAACTATTAAAATATTATGTTCAACAAAATTATAAACAGCTCTATAAAAGATTATTCTACTCTAAACTAGAAAAATAGACGGAAAAGGTAAATTTATGGGGGGAATATTATTTAGCTACGCCAAATTTGATCTGTAGAAAACAAATCACTTGACTCTGAATTAATGAGCACACCTAAAAAGAAAAGGAGATGACATTTAATTATTTCCAGGAAAGAAAGGCTGGGTCGTAGTTGTAATTCATCAGAAGAAATTGTTTTCTTCTTGAATTTTAGAATTAACGAAGCAGAACGAAGAGAAATTTATTTTAACAAAATACAAAACTGTAACCTGATTTTATTGATCTATCGAAAAATGAAAAACAAAATTATATTTCAAACGCGTCAGCATTCTCTCGAGTAAATGAACTTTTTAAATTCAAACTACAGATAGGAAACTCTTGATATATTTAATTAACAGAATGCCTTTTTTGTTGTTGTTGTTTGCGGGGTGGGGATTGTATTTTATAATTTGCTTATTCAATTTGATGGCGATACAAATTTTAATTTGATATTCGAGGATTTCACAAGATTAAGATATGAATTAACAAATCGATACAGTAGCTAAGTTTTCATTCTGTACCTAGCTTTTGGTTACCTAACATCCAGTGGCAAATATTCCATGCATGTTCAGGACGAGAACAAATTAACAATAAATTCACTAGGTAGGTCCAGTAATAGAGGCCGTCTGGGATGAAGATCGGAGGAATCTGGACATCCACAGGAAAATGATGATATATTGGGTAAGGACAGAACGTTGGCCTTGCAACAGGCCACCTACGGACCCCTCAAAGAGTTGTTGCAAGGGTTCTTAACGTGCAAAGTGCGTTGCACTCTCTTTACACGAGGCATCAGATTTAACTTCCCCATACTGACCGGACGTGGTTGCGAACTTTTACATCCCGCACAGCCAAACGGACGCCCAACTTTGGCGAGGGTTTTACTGCCGGTCGGAGGAAGACCAATGGTGACCATATTTATATTCCCCTAGTCACCATTGGGGGTACCTAGATTTTAGGAAGGGAAGTTCGTTAGGGGTCGAAAACGGATTGTTGATTGTCTGTGAAAAATGGGTCACATACGTCATATAGATAGTACATTACTGAAGGCCGAAACATTAAGTTTGGTATAAACATTTTAATCAAGTTAGTGCCCAGGATTTCCGCAGTTCACATAACACACTATTGCAGTAATTGGGTGTTTCCTTTTCAAACCAGGCCTTCGTACTACTCTGTGTTCCTGAACTTTTTGGTTTAAAATAGATCCGAAAAAGTATCGAACAGCTTTCAAGTAGGTTTTATATTTATTGTATGAAGCAGGTTCAAAAGAGTATTCAATTCATTTTATGCTTATAATGTTTTTTGTTGTTTTATTACCATTATTTTTTAATTGAAAAGAAAGGATATAGTATATCAGATCATGATACAAAATCACAGCGTATACTTATGTACTTTGTCTATATGCCATTTTGTGTTTCTTTGTTGAAACAGTTATTTGTTAGAGATTAAGATTATATTACAACGTTGGCTGCTGTACCCCAATTTTTGACGTGTTTACCTATCATGTCTGTTTGTTTTGCTCACACATTGTTGTCAATATAATGGAATTCTATGCGACTGTCATACAAGTGAGAGGTTTAGCAAGCTTTAAAACCAGGTTTAGTCCACCATTTTCTACTTAAGGAAATGCCAGTACAAAGTCAGGAATATGACAGTTGTTTTCCATTCGTTAGATGTGTTTGAGCTTTTGATTCTGTCATTTTATAAAGGACTTTCCGTTTTGAATTTCCCTTGGAGTTCGTTTTTTTTTGTTATTTAACTTTTTACCAATAACAACGTCATCCAAAGGGACGATGATACCCTACTGATACTTTGAACATCAAACCTAGTTGGACTTATGACATGATTATTAGTTAACTTTGTCATGTAATTGGAATATATATATTTGCAAAAAACTGGCATTTCTTTATTCGTCATCTTGTAAAATATGCGTATCGTTTATCTGCCATCCAAAAAGGTTAATGACTTTCTTAAGTTATCTTGTTATATAAAACCCTGAGAAAAAATAAATATATATATCTTCTTATTTTTTATGTAACAATAATGCATCTTCTATAATACTTATTTTTTATCTGGCATTCATTAAGTAAAGAACTCTCTTAATTCCTTTATATAAACTTAAACAGAATAGAACATGACATCATCTGTGACATGAAACAAACAGCGAAACGTTTTGAAATATATATATTTCATCCATTTTCTCATATCGTTAAAGTTGTTGGAGTTTAGTCGATTAAATATTTCCAATAAAATTCAAAATGTTAAGACAAAAACTTTTGTCGATTTTGAATTTTTTTTCCCTAATTTATTCATGCAGATGTCAGGATTTAGAGAAGTATGTTGCTCCAATACTGGACAACAGAGGGGCACCACTGGTTGCAATAGTAGATACAAGTAACATTAGTTCACATATTGTCCGGTCAATAGAAATGCCATTGCGGGAGATAATCAACTCAACAGTAGAATGCAAAATAAACGAAAAACTAAAAGAAGACATAGTGTCAAGTCAAGTGTTGAGGAACGTAAATGATCACCTGGACACATTACAACAAAATATTGACAAACATATTGGAGATAACAGGGACAAATTTATTGACGTTAAACAGGACATTGCATCATTACGAATAGACACGGAAGCGTCCATTTCACATGAAATCCTTAAACAAAAGAAGAATTTTACTAATCTTGTCAATGCTCTGAACTAAGATCTCGAAGAAAAGATGAAGAATGTAACAAGCAACGTAATTATCATGCAGTCAGGAGTACAAAAAAGATTGACAAACACATTGAAGATAACCGGAACAAGAACCAATTTACCGTAGTTAAAGAGGACATTGCGACATTAAGGAAAGAAATGAAGGAAAAAATTACTCATGAAATTCTTGAAAACATGAAGAATTTTTCTATGGTTTTCAATAATGTGAACAAAGATCTGGATGAAAAAGTGAAGAATTTAAGGGAAACCATACTGTCTGTTGATAGTAATGTGTCAAATTTAGCAGAGCAACTGAAAAAAACATTCAAATAGATTGGATGCGCTCTATTCAAATATACAAGAATTAACTGTAAACACAAGGGCAATTCAGAGTGATATGAATAAAGTAAGGTCTACAGTTAACATCAATAATGGAAAGTTAGGAGGTCATGACTCAAGGCTGGACAATTTAAATTCTAAGGTCAACGACATTAACTCAAGAGGTAAGTTTACTAGGCAATATAAAATTGAAATTATATTATGATTCTTTATGAACTCTAATTTGCCGGCAGTTTTTTCGTATGTAGTGACATTAACCGTGACACCTTTCGTAAGCAATTCGACAATGGCACAGTGCAAGTGTGAAGGCAAAATTGTGGTGAAAAAAGTAAACAAACTTGGAAAGACGATAGTCTCAACCGATTACGAAAGAATCAAATTGATAAACCAAATAATTTTACAACTGGATGGCAAAGTTTAACTTATAAATAGGACCGCATAGAAAATATATATAAAAAAAAAAAATAAACATCGCTGTATTATCTCACTGATTTTCACGTTCTTCGTGATTTCGGTGATGATAGTTCAGTTGTTTGTTTATAAAAGTCACGATCGGTAAACTTCGGAACTAAAATCCGAAAGTTAATTAGCAGTCAAAGTTTTTGATCAACAATCACCGAATGAAATATCTTTTGTTGATCATACGTTATTGATTGTAAAAAATAATACACAGAATACTCAGTTCAGTATATATGCATGAATTGATTCAAACAATTTCATTAACATTATAGTAATTAATAATCATCAGGAATTCGTTTCATATGACTTTAACAATGACGAGTTTTAACCCCCTGCTAGTTCACATGAAAATCGATTGTTCTTATGTATAAAAGGTGGACTAGGTTAAAAGATGTACTTAATACAATAAGTAAAGTAAGAATTTGCATTGTTATTATTTGTAACATTAAAGTTTTAATAATGTAGCAAATGTAACACAAAATAATACAAAATATAACACAAAATGACACAAAATATAACACAATAGTCAATAATTATTAATGTATAAAGAATGGTTTTCTTAACCTGAATATTTGTAAAATGTCATTACTTCACTTTATTTTATCAAATTTCAGCTTTTCTGTCAGCATGGGTTCCTAGTTCAGAAACAATGACATCTAGTGAGGTCATACCATTCACGACTATAAAAGCACAACATGGCATTAGTAGCGTTTCGTCCATGACAAGCAGAGGAGAATTTACTTGCGAGAAAGCGGGATACTACCTCGTGTCTTTTTTTGTGACGTCGAAATCGTCAAAGGCACAGGCAAGTTTGTATAGGAATACTGCACAAATCGCTAAAACTACGAAAAGTGGTGATAGTCATTACGAATCACATGCTGCAATGACAATTACTCAACTTGATACGGGAGATATTCTATCTGTGAAAGCTAAAATTGATGACATGAATGTGTACAGCACATACGATACAGGATTCACCATTCTTCAGATATACTGACCGTTCTTGAGTTATGTCCCTTTATAAGGTTACATGCAAGCGAGGGTATCATCTGTCCCATAAACACATTCCCCATTTTTATTTTTTTTTTCACCATTTATCAATTGGTGGGGGAAGATGGATTATTCTTTTACCTTTTTCAGATTAACAAAAAAAACCTTTTTTTTATTAATTTTCATGAAAAGAATTTGTTTTGGAAATTCAATGGAAACAAACCTTTTTTTACCCCTCCGTTTTGAAACTTTTTTTTTTTCAGAAATGTATAATCAAACACCATATCTAAAAGAAAACCATACTCCCACATAAGATGACTGATTGGTGCCTTATAATCCCCAGAGCCATTTGTCGAAGAACTACGAATACTTTTTGAATTTGTATGAAAATGCAAGCATGTAAAATACTTCTCAAATCAATGGATATCTGAAATTCATTAAGATTTTTGTACAACTTCAAGATATATTACAAAGACTTGTATACAAATCAATCTCTTTTTCATTAATTTTTTGAACACTTTGGATACATTGCGTAGTAAAAATTGTCCACACAATTGTAGTTGTTTTTTTTTTTTTTTGCTTCCTTGCTTAAAATATGACATGAATCATACTTCAACTTTTATTCATGAAAAAAAAATTCTAATAAAAAATTGAAATTTCCACAGAAAATGTAAAACGCAACGCTAAACACCAAGCATTTACACAATGTGAACAGTCATTTGGGGTGTTAGAAAATGTATTTTTATGATTGTGTGTCTGCGCTAAATGTTAATAATTCATGTAGATATAATTTTTGAATGGCTTTTAACAGGTCAGGGCCACTAGATTTTGACGTCAGAATACATTTGCAAAGTAATTTCCCAAATACAAAATGTAAACATGGCCCTGAGAATTTGGCCAATCAACTCAATGAACCACAATACAATGTGGACTACTACGAGTTTACTATCACCCAATAACACGTGGAATTGTTTAAAAAGTGTCATTTTGTATTTTTTTCTATGAATCTCATATTTGATTTTTTTGTCCATCTACTGTAATACATGTAATTTATATAACATAATCTTCAATGTGCATGCTCATATATTAAAAGTATTGTTCACAAGCTTCAGAATTCGACTTTTCATTTCGACTCGTCAAAGTAGGAAAGAATATGTGTTGTCTATTGTTATGCACTGTACCTGTGCATTCATTCCACGTGAAATTAATAATGAAGTGTCATTGAGTAAATTCCGTTGAGCTCTTTAAAACTAATAAAAGTACTAATGGTTTACATGATACTATTTACTTATGGAATTTTCGTATCCTGTATATCTTACAGCTTATGTCTACCCAAACACAATGTTCTTTCATAATGCGCAGAGAATTTATATAAAACTTGATATCAAGCAAAACTGGCTACAAAGCACAATTAAAATTAGTCGAATTCAGTATTTTCAATAATTTATTGTATAGATAGCCATTAGACTGGGACACCTGTTTATTGTAAAAGACTTAATGCTGCATTCTAGTTGTCATTTGGTTATTTTTGTTGTTTAGTTGCTGTCGCATTGAAAATATATCCCACACCTCCTTCAAAGTTGAAAACTTTAAAATTACATCATACACTCGTATACGTATATAAATAGCAAAAGTAAAGGAAAATTACAGCGCACAATAGGAAAATAAATAGTTACTTATATGTTATATAAGTTCTGTTTATACATAGTTTGATTTCCATTACGCTCAGTAGTCATTATTTTAGGATTTTCCCAGGATTGTTTGTTTTCTTTACTATTGAAAAGAAACAGATTTATTATCATATCTTAATCAGCTACATGTGAGTTTATCAGGTGTTCTTAGCAGGGTGGTATAATTACATCAGTTCCATAACAAATATACATGTTTTGTTAATTAGCGACCACTTATGGCATCTGGCTTTCCTTTATCCTTTGTTTGTTTGCACATAAACTTGGGTGTAGTTTAGCTCCTCCCATTTAGGAATATATCCCATTAAGTAGTTGTATATTGAAAACCAGTACATGCTGCCTTTAGTTTCCAATTTTTTCAATGCAGATTAAGCAGTTAAAAGAATAATTTTTGCTCAAAAAGTGGCTAAGCTAAAAACTTCTTAATGTTTCAGTGATTTGGATTAATACTTTACCAAAGCAGGTTATACAGATTTTTGAACTATTTAATTTTGATTCAGACTTAATACACATTTATTTTGGAATAACTAATATCAAAATGTCTGGCAAATGGAAAGGTGTGTGTAGGAGGAGTAATAAGGATTTCTCCTTATGAGAACCATTGGTCTATAATAATCCATTTAACTGGAATATTACAAGCTGAAAGACAAAAAAGGAATTAGGACATCTTATCAAATGTCAAAACAAGTGTTAAAGCAATTTTATATAGGATAGTAATGAAGCAGTAACATATTTTGTATATATTACTTCTAAACTTTTTCACTTTTGGATTATGAATTACCCCTACAAAGCTGAATATTTAATGTTGGCGATATTTGTGTTGTGCATAATTTTACATTTTTAATGTTATCTGAATTTTGGACGACTAAAATAAACTGCGACTTTATTAGAGAGTGAATTATATTTGATATAGCCGATTTTAACAGCATCAGATCCATGTGTTTGTTGTGATCATGCAGAGATATTTCCATCCATGTTTATGAACTGGATTTACCTACAAATGTTCTAGGCAAGTATCTTTTTACTACATGTACAATTGGGTGAGCAACCCAATCAGAGATAATAGGTTAATGTGACAATGAATGGATTCAACAGCAAAACTGTGTACGCATACATCACCAACATACAAATCTGACTAAAAACTCAAACATTTACATACAAATAAATCTACATAGTTGCCAACAAGATTTTGTTTTTGTTTTTTTGTAGTTGATAGTAAATTTGACAAAGACAGCAACAAAAAGTGTTTGTAGTTGATAGTACATACAGCATATAGTTTACACTTTCTCAATAAAGTACAAATCAAGTAAAATATAAGACAACAGTATCAAGTGAAAACAACACTTTAAAAACCTATTGCATCATAATTGCACCTCTTGACCCACCTGCAACAGGAACCGCTAAAACCCTGGATAGCTGATGAACAAATACTGAGTCACGTCATGAATCATATAACCAAAGGAAGATAATAGCACAAAGACTAATAAAGGAAAAACTGTAAAGTAATTAAAAGATACACAACGTCAGTACCTATAGAAGCTATAACTCAAGACCTCCTTGTATTATTTATGAAGTAGACACTGAATATTTATGCACTGGTATTCACACAAGCTAATTTGGTTATTGACAATAGCTTATATATGTCAGATATTGTATTCATTTCTTCATCTTCATGTGATAATTTTGATTTATTTCTTTAGTATAATATCTATATTTTATAACATACACTCCACTTACTGCCAAATTAATTTCATGATCTATTTACCATATATTTCCTTGCATTATGTACAAAGAGAAACAATTATGTTGTTACAGTTATATGACATCTCCATAATTGAAGTCATTCGAAATTGTTTTTTTTTGTAAACACAATTGGTAAATGGAGTATTTAGATTGATTGATTGATTTGTGGTTACTTTACGCCGCCTCAGCACTTAAAGGCGATATCACGTCGATAAATGAATTAAGAACAAATAACTTGTGAACATATAAGTATAAACATTTAATCTAAATGTTAATAATTCTAGAATACTGTGATATGGGTTAAATCGTTACTATGCTAGCTTTACAGATAGATACTGACATAACAAACAATTTTATATTTTATAACAGCATTTGATATATTGTGAAAAAAGACACCTTTCTTCATTTTTTTTATTTGCATATTTATACACTGAGGGAAACAAGACATTGCACCTCCTGTATGCACATTGGGAACATCAGATGGCCAATCACAAGCATTGGACTCTACCAGTTTGACGTGCTTCTTTTTCTGCATAGCTATGACAACAGCTCGACTATATTATTTAATGCTTTCAGTTGGATCAACATCTTCACAGCTTTATTGTTAAGCTTTATATGTATCATTGCTGCTCAGTCATATATACATTATACACTTGAACATTGATGGTATTCATATCATGTTATAAACTGTTCAATACACTTGGATAATGACAGAGAATTCAGTACCAAGCAGTTCAGATCTCCAGGGTACATACCCAAGACACTTTAATGTTAAATCTCAGTGCTCTAGATGTTTTACTGTTATGTAATGGGATGTTTTAAACCTGGACTAATTAAACTAGATTAACTAAATTTGGATCAAAGGGACTAATACTTATAGTTGTGGATTCAACTTCATCTGTAGTAAATGCATAATGTTCAGCAACTAGTCATATTAATCAGAGTTCATGTTCCCATGTTTTAAACAGGATACATTATCCATATTCAACCATACAAACATTAGATACTAGAGCCTCCTCATTTCACCATGCACCTCTGGAAAGACATATTTCACAAACCAGACCCAGTGCAGCATAACTTTCAATGAAGTGCCAATGCAGCTTAGTTGTAATGTGGTCCTAAATCAGCAATTGATGATCTTTGGAACAGTAACATGATAATATGAACTGTTTATGAGACTGGGTTCAGAAATTTAAGACCTTTATGTTATTGAATGGATTATAATTACTAGTTTACCAGCTGTTTCTGAGGATTTTATAATATTGCTTTAAATTCTGAGTTTGTATACTCTACCATTGATTTGTATTTATGTAGAATAAGGTAAAGGTATCTGCAAGGTAATAAAAATTATCCTTTGCTGTCAGAAAGTAATACACCGTAATTAGGCTTGAACATGTTTTAAATTCTGTAAATATACTGCAAAAACCAAGATATATCAGATTACCATAATTTTGATTTTAGAGAAAATGGTAAAAAAGTTTTTTTTTTCAAAGTTTACTGATTTAATGTTTAGAACTGCATGCTTTGTAGCTTTTTTTTTATAGATGTGGCAAGTTTACATTTTCAAGGCCTCATATACATTTGATCCAGCTGTAGATCTATGCATTATAGAAGCTGCATTTTACTCCGAATTAAAAAAATATCAAAAACTGTTCTGTTTAGAAAGGGCATAAGCATTCAGCTACATATATTATGGCTTAATTAAATTAATACTTATTTGCCCATACAAGATTTTATTAGAATTTATACAGTAATGTAGGAAATTACTCCTATCCATCCTACTGACCCACTTTTTTTAACCATTGATAAGAAATTTTAAAAAGACAATATTTGCTTATATGTTACTCAGATCATAGCTTTAGAATAGGGACAGCTTCTAGAGCTGGAAAGACAAATACAAGATCAAGCTGGTCTTCAGATATTTACAGTAGATGTATTTAGTAACACCAGTATCTATAAAATCTTTTCAAATTAGGTTGGGTAGCTTTAAGAAAATGCTATTTCTCAAGTTCTTCATATATATAAAAATAAGAAGAAATATGCATGAATGTTTTCAAAGTAGTTTCAGTATTGTTCTGTGACTAAAGTTTATTTTTATGTGTTATCATTATGTGATTATTCTTTCTTAGCTTTTCTTTTATTTTTTGTGTGTATTTTATTTTTATTTTTTTCTCATGGCTTTATTGAAGGTATCCCCTTACATCACAAATCCTTGGGGACACTCAGCTGTTACCATCTGTGTTATGGACATTTATAAAATGTTATCACTGGTTGTTTCAAAAATTTCACTCATCCCCAAAGAATTTCTGGGGATAAACTGTCAACTTTCATACAAATTCATTCCATCACCAATTCAACATCAACACTACTTGGCTTCCTCATAGCCACATACTAGGCTTCCAAATAGCCTCATAGGCTTCCTCAGACATAGCCTCATATACTTTCTGATAGCCTCATAGGCTTCCTGATAGCCTCATGTGCTTCCTGATAGCCTCACGCATTTATTTGGAACCATAGTTCCAATTGGATTGGTGTGATGTCAAGCCATGGGTCTTTGCTTTGCTACTTTACTGTACGCACATAGGCTCTGAGCTTAGGCATGGAGCAAAAATTTTAATTTTAGTGGAGTAGATTCCCCAAGGGCCAAAATTAAGTGATGAATATAAAATAATAAA